GACAGATGCTGTAATGATAATTTTTGTTTATGTGTTTCACATTGGACAACAGAGCAAATTAGGTTAGAATTCTGCCATACCAAGCATCCTAGAAGCAGGTAGGGAAGAAATAGGGCCTCCTCTTAGCGCTAGGGTTGAAGTCCTAAAACCCAGGCCTCTCTCTCTCTTCACAAGTTATTCAAGGCGACTCAACCAAGGTGACTCATTTGAGAGTTTCTCTTTAGTTCAGTTAAGCATTTCCTAGGACCTCTGTGGCTTCCTGACAAGAGCGTATTTCTATGATTCTCATTTGCCAGAATGAAAGCTCTAGCATCGGTGTCCTATTTTGCAAAATAAATTGAAAGTGCTTTAGCCCTTTTTATTCCTAGGGAGACACTCCTCAGTCTTGTTTTCCAAAGTAAAGAGAAACCAAGTTTATGACTATTTCAAGGTCCTCCTTTCTAATTAGAGCCTTTGAAAATTACCTAGATGGGACCTCAGAAAACAGGTGCTGGGAGTTTTAAACAGAAGCCTGCCAAATCAGGTCAACACATCATGTTTTTGACTAAATTTGTAATCCACAATCAAGAGTCCAATATTTTCACTTTATGGGGTTTTTTGGTAGGAAACTTTGTTTACCTAAAGGTTTTGTTGAATGAATAGTACTACCTTTGGGGTATGCCAGANTTCACTTTATGGGGTTTTTTGGTAGGAAACTTTGTTTACCTAAAGGTTTTGTTGAATGAATAGTACTACATTTGGGGTATGCCAGATAGTTATGTAAGCATATGATTCTTTGCCAAAACTTGCATTGACATTTATAAAATGCTAGCAAAGTTAAAACACTGTTTTTTCCAATTGTGCAATTGAATATTCAACTAAATATTATTTTTCATTAAAATGTTTACCAGAATTTTAAGTGGGTGTCTTATTTATTCACAGTAGAACAAAATAAATTAAATCTGAAATGAAATGTTGGACTAGCAGAAAGAGCAGTTCCCAAGAACATGCCATGCTGCCTCATTCTTTGGCTAACATGATGGCGTATTTTGTGCCCTGGACACCTGACACAGCCAGAAATATGCAGTCCTCTTAATTCAGTCATTGAATCAGCCAAGAATGCTTGCCTAGTGTCCATTGGATAGACATGTTCGACTTGGTACTGTTTTAAGAAGGAACTTGGGGCATAGTCCCTACCTTCTGAAACTTCACATGTAGAATGGATTGAGCTCTCCAGGAGGCAACAGTCACGTCTCTGTAGCCTGTGGGGTGACTGACAATGTCAGAAGAGAAGTGAAAAGAACTGTGGAACCTAAGGCTGGTTGCCTGGGGTAATGGGGATTTTCACTTTCCTTCTTTTTTTAAAAAAAAAAATATCTTTCTTGATTTCAGAGAGAGGAAAGGAGAGGGAGAGAGAGGTGAAACACCAATGATGAGAGTCATTGATCGAGCCCACAACCTGGGCATGTGCCCTGACTGGGAATCAAACCTTGATTTCCTGGGTCCCAGGTTGATGTTCAATCGCTGAGCCACGCCTGGCAGGGCCACTTTCCTTCTTGAAAGGAATCCAACTCTATGAGCAACAAAAAGATGGACAAATATATGTACACAAAGAAAGTAAATACTATAAGCTAGTTATGCAGCCCCAGTTAGCTAGTTCTTACAGAGAAATAGAAAAAATCTTAGATAGAAAGAAAAGTGAGAAACAAGAAAGGAAATGCTGGTGGAAGGAACTTCTGCAGATGAGTTGAGGTCATGAGGAAAGAACTTTCCTGGGAAAGCTCTGCAGTGTTTTTCCTCCTCTGGGTAAAAATCACCTCATATCAGTCTTGGTGATAACTAAAGCATGTTCTTCTCTGGACAAGTGTCTGAGGAAGCTGACTATTGAGATAAATAAATATACAAAAATGTCCAAGAGGAATTACCATTTTTCAGCTTCATGAATCTAAACAATTTTACTAACGTTTTGAGGCAAATATGCTGGCCTTTGTATAATTCCCAGTAGGAGATGGTCAGCTTTTCCTAATTACTGGCCTTTGGGCACGTGGTTCCTTCAACTGGGATTTTGCCCCTCTCTTCCCTGGGTCTGCTCCAGCTCATCCTTCAGATGTGAGCTTGAATTGATCTTCTAAGTGGCCTTCCAAGGCACCTTAGAGAAAGATGAAAGCTCCTTCCTTTTCTTTTCCTTTTTTTATTTTATTATTTGTTTGTTGTTGTTTTTATCCTCACTGGAGAATATTTTTTCCATTACTTTTCAAAGAGAATAGAAGGGAGAGAGAGAGAGAAAGAGAAACATCCATGTGAGAGAGACACATTGATTGATTGCCCCCTGCAACCGAGGTAAATGCCCTTGGCCAGAATCGAACCTGGGACACCTCAGTCTGTGAGCTGATGCTCTAACCACTTAGCAAACCAGCCAGGGCTCTCCTTTTTTTCTTGAACAATACCTTGGTCCTTACCCCATTTAACATATCACAAATTTAAGTGATGTATATTTATGTTTATTTACTTTTTTATAAATGGTTCTCCTAGAACACTATATGCTCTATAAGACAGAGGCTGTCTCAGTTTTATTCACCACTGTGAGCTAGGTGTTTACCTAACTCAGGAAATGCCTTCAATTGGTACAAGGTGGAAGTAGGCGGAAAAAAACAAATCATACATCATTTAAGCCATTAAATTCTAGATTATTTTTAAACAAGAAGCTGGATATGTTATTTAATATTCCTTCGACTATTTCTTGCTCATTTACCTTTTGATTTAACATCCAAGAACTCAATTTGACATTGTTTCATGGCTTCATTGACTGGAAATGAAAATACACAAAAAATATCAATTTCCTGATCTCTCCATAGAACCAGTATTTTCAGATGATTTGAAAAACTGTTCATAGGCAGGTTTTCCTGGCAAGATGGTTGAAGTTCACTATTTGGCCCTGACAAGCTCAGAAGTGAGAAATGATTCCACAAAGTTTCACAATAAATATTAAATATATCAAATTGTGACATGTGTAATATTTATAAAAATAGAATTTATAGGAAACTCTAAGTAAAAAGAGGAGTTCATTTCAAAAACTGTGATCTCGGAATATAAATTTTAACTCCTTCTTGGATTTATTTCTTTTAATGTAACTATATATATAGCTTTAAGTATACTTATTTAATGTTTTTTGAAATTTGAGATAAAAAGGAAACATTAAATGGTATTTCATATTTTTCCAGATTGCCGATTCTCAGAGGGAAGGCAGGAGTGGGTGGGTGGGGAGAGATTAACCTAAGAACTTATATACAATTATGTACAACCCATGGACAGAGACAATAGTTTAGTGAAGGCCTAGAGGGGGCATGTAGTGGGGGTGG